CTTGGTGTGCATAATGTAAAGCAAGCCTACTGAGCCCGAGGGCCTTTCCTTCGTGTAGCGCCTCATAAGAGTGAAAGGGGGGTGGTGTGGGGAGTGGTAAGGTCTGATCACCTTTCTTCCCATCAGCTTTCGTGGATATATCAATCCACTCTTGACTTCAGTGCTTAAGGATTTTTTGAGTTGTTGGTTACTAGCACATGTGCATTGGGTGTCGTGTGCCCTCTAGTGTAGTGAAGTGGTGGGGCTGCCGGAGCCGTACATCCTATGGGTTGTGTACCTGTTGGTTAATTTATAGGCCTAATTATGTTGGGTGTTTTAACTCCCAATTTTCCCATACTTCCCTTTTCCAGCTATTTCCTGGTGACATTCTTGAGATATTGGATTCGTACCTCCCTACTTGAGATACATATTTAATAATATCTTGTGTTGCTGCATTATTGGGCGATAGCCAGTTTTTTGCTACTAGTTGTTGAGCTGCTACTAGTATGTGAAATATTAAGTATCGTACAGGTTTAGGGTAGGTGGTGCCCAGCATAAAGAGAAGTAGAGAGGTAGGGGTGTTTGGTATGTTCACTGATGTGTGGCGGTGTATCAATGAGATGACTGCTTTCCAATATGGTTGGAGTTTGGAGCATTTCCACCAGACATGGAGAAATGATCCTATTTCGGTTTTGCATCGCCAGCAGGTGTTGGGTAGTGTTGGGTTTATTGTGGCCAATCTCGTAGGGACCATGTACCAGCGGTAAAGGATCTTGCGGGTTGTTTCTAGGTGAGATGCACACTGTGTTAGGCCTTTCGTTATATTTATCGTGGCCAGCCAAGTTTTCTCCGGTATTGACTGGTTAAGGTCTTTTTCCCAGGAAAGTACAAAGGGGAGAGTTTTAACCTCACGTCTAGATAACAGCAGGGCATATGTGGTGGATATGGGCTTTTTAATCTGTTTACCCGCCATGAAAAGTTTCTCAAACTCTGTTAACTCAGGGGTGGTTTGGGGCTTGAAAGTTAGTATTTTGGATTTCCACCAAGATGCTAATTGCAGATATGAGTGGTACGCCGTGTTGGGTAACGTGTGGGTCTCTTTTATGTGATCAAATGTATCTAATTTCCCCTTGTTGGAGAGAGAATGTAGGTGAAGTACACCGCATCTGTTCCAGACCCTGTAGTTAAAATCTGGTATTTCCCAAGCTAGAGCTTAGATGGGGGTGGAGAGGGCAATCGGATAATTGCTGCATAGGAGTTTACGCGATGCGTCCCATATTTTCAGCATTGCTAGGGTGGTTGGGAGTACCTGTGTTGTGTTTCCCCTGTACTTCGGGGATAGCCATATTAATGCGTCTATTTCTCGGTTTTGTAGCCAATGTTGTTCTAGCTGCACCCATTGTGGCCTGTCCCGCTCCTGGGCGGCGGGGAAGAGGCTAGCCAGCACTGCTGCTCTGTGATACAATTGTATATTGGGTAGGCTCATTCCTCCCCTGTTCCTAGGTTGGTATAGTGTGGATATGGCTATTCTGGGTCGTTTCCCCTGCCAAATGAAAAGATTAATCTGTTTCTGAAGTGCCATGAAATAGGCCCTTGGTATTTGTAGAGTGAGTGTCCTAAACAGATATTGTAGTTTGGGCAAAATTACCATTTTGACCGCTGCTATGCGCCCCGACCATGAGATAAATTTATTTCCCCAGTTGTGAAGCAAAGCAATGATCTCCTTGCTAAGTTTAACGTAGTTTATGTTATATAGGTTGGACAAGTTATGTGGGAGCTTTACCCCTAGGAAAGTCAGATAGTCATCCCTCCAGTCATAGGAGAATTGTTTCTTTAATGCCGACAAGTACGCACTGTCCATTCCCACTCCCATGGCTTGTGTTTTAGAAAGGTTTAATTTATAATATGAACATTTGCTATATTCCTGTAGTATGGCGTGGAATTTTGGCAGGGATGTGTGTGGTTCAGTGATTGTGAGCAGAACATCATCCGCGAAAAGGTTCAGTTTGTGCTCGCTATCTCCCACCCTGATCCCTTTGATCTCCTTCTCCATGCGGATAGCCTCGGCCAAGGGTTCTAGGCCCATGATATAGAGGAGGGGCGATAGGGGGCATCCTTGCCTAGAGCCATTAGTAATAGTGAAAGGTGCGGATTGAAATCCCGAGGTGAAAACTCTAGCTTCGGGGTTGCTATACAGGGATTTGACTATTGAGATAAAGTGCATGGGGAAATCAAATTTGGCCAGGACCGCCCGCAAGAATGACCAATGCAGGCGGTCGAAGGCCTTTTCTGCATCAAGGGATAATAAGAGACTTTGAGGAGATTGTCTGTGCATAGTGTGTAGTAGTGCAAGGGCTTTGCGTGTTCCATCTGTCCCCTGCCTTCCATGTACAAAGCCTACTTGGTCAGAGTGGATGATGTGTGGAATTATGTTTGACATGCGGTTAGCGTATACTTTAGCAAGGATTTTCACATCAGAGTTGAGTAGCGAAATTGGTCGAAAGTTAGCACATTGGGTTGGTGGTTTTCCTGGTTTGGGTAATGTGGCCACATTAGCCGCGAGCATGTCTGCTGGGATAGATTCTAGTGCGGTGGTGGATGTGAAGAGCGACACTAACCTGGGGACCAGAGTGGAGGAGAATTTCTTATAATATATATTTGGTAGGCCATCTGGATCTGAGGCTTTGTTATGTGGCAAGTTTTGTATTACTGTATCCAGTTCCAATTGGGAGATGGGTTTAGCTAATGAGGATCGTTGCTCGTCTGTCAATTTGGGCAGATTAATTTTGTCCAAAAAACTAGCTATTTCCCCTTCTGTGGGTTGATGCACAGTAGGGTCATTTTTGAGATTATAGAGTTTCCCATAGAACTCTGCAAAATGGTTACTGATGTCTTGGGGTTTGATGATTTTTTCCCCATTTCGAGAAAAGAGGTGGGATATTTTGGTATGGGCCTGAGCGTCTCGGAGTCTACTTGCTAAAAGCGAGCCCGCTTTGTTGCCCATGCAGTATTCTCTCGTTTTCAGCCTATGTAGGGTACGTGTCGTTTTGGCTATGTTAATGTCATTCAGTTCCGATTGGAACCGTGTTATAAGTTCCGCATCTTGTGGGTTTGGATTAACCATGTGAGATGTAGAAGCATCTCTCAATTTCCTAAGGAGGTGTAGAGAGTTAGCCTGGGAAATCTTTTTGAGGTGCGAGGCACGCCTTATATACAGGCCCCGCACTACAGCCTTATGGGCTCTCCATACTGTCGTGGGACTCGTTTCTGGTATGTCGTTAGTGGAGAAGTAATGTGTGAGTTCGGTTTCTATCTCTAACTTAAACTGTTCATCCTGTAAAAGCGATTCATTTAATCTCCAGGGGTTACAACCTCGGTATCTAAAATCATCTTTAAAGCTATCACAGGTGCATGGTCAGACCACAAGATGTCCCCCATAACACATGATTGATTAGGTTAATTGAAGGGCCTGGTACGAAAGTAACACATCTATTCTGGAGAATGACTTATGGTTTAGAGTAGTAAGAGCATCCTCTCTGAAGGATGGAAGGTCAGCCAACTATCATATAAATCGGAACTTACAGCCAACTGTGTCAGGCTTCGCAACAAGCGGCTCTTTGAGGGACGTTTCCGGTGTCTAGAGGCTAGGAGGCGAGAAGTGTCTAGAAGGGGGTCTAAGACGGTTTATATCTCCACATATCACTGTGGGCATGATATTTATTTTTTAAACGAACGGACACAGAGAGATTTAAATGAATTGGAACGTGAGAAAGCTTACGAAAGGACTGCACGAAATGCGGGTTTTACACAAAAGGTAGCAACGTACGAATGAATGGTAGCACATGTATTTTAGCTGAACAGGCATTAACAGAAACTGACGAATTGGTTCTATGTGAGGAAACGAAAGTTTACAAGAATGCCCGTTTATTTTAAGTGCCGTGGTAACCGAACAGAAAATTTAAATGAACGTGTGTTCTAGTGAAAGTACAGGAGTGCGTTCGTATGAAAAGAGTATAACTTACAATTAGCCGTAAGTGCGCTGGCTTTCTAATTATACTCACAAACACAGGACTGAAAGAAAGTTTTGGCGACAGACTGCCGGCCGGCTGGCGGGAAAATGATGTCAGAGTCCAGTGAACCGGAAGTAAACAGAAGCACTTCCGAGATTCTATCGCATAGGTGTAAGCAGAGGCTTACTGGGTTTAAATAGGGTAAGCCATAGTGCCTACCACCATAGTTACAGGACGTTTCCTTAAAATGCCTTTTATGCTTCAGATAAATACTTTCTGACATATGCATTTACCCTGTTGTAACACGCTATATATTTCCATTTTAAACACTCTAGGATATCAAAATTTGGTGTCAGTGATTTGTTATATTTGGTCCACCTGTAATACTCTTGTATCTTCATATATACATGTTATTATTGCTGTCATAGTTTGGCACCATAGGTGTTACAGTGACTATGCCACATATGCAAGGCTGCTGACTTTAATGCCACTTTGCAGGTTTTGCTTTTGAATTAAAGTTACTCCAACCCTATAAGGAAAGAAAAACTGAAAGGAAACAAAGTCACCACCGTGCCACTTTATGGAGCACATGGCTGGCTGAGCATTCTGCAAAGTATTTACTAGTGGGATAAACACATATGGATTATAGATCGTCAGTTTCTGCCAATTCAGTTGCAATGAGGACTGCCAATCCCATCATGCCCATATTAATGTAAAATAAATAAATTCCCAGGCAGCGAAAGCCAGGTATAATTGTAAGCCATCTTTACATTTCTTGTTCTCTATATCTCCCCTGGCCAGGAGCAAAGCCCTTTCTTCTTCCATTACCTCTGAAGGCTGCTATTAGCAAACACTGTATTCCAATGCCCACAGAGAGATGGCAGCTTTAAAGGATGGTGAATGGATACCACGCCCACTAATTTACATGACCACGCCCACACCCAATGAGCTGGCGTTCAGTTCTCTCACACAGCCACGATGTGCCACGCCCACTGCACTGCAAGCCCGCCCATCTCCACCAGCAGCTGCACTTTCAGGCTGGCTGTCATTGAGAGAGCTGAGCTGGAGAGACTGGCTGTCACTGAGAGAGCTGGACAGAGCTTGGCTGTCACTGAGAGAGCTGGAGAGGCTGGCTGTCACTGAGAGAGCTGGAGAGGCTGGCTGTCACTGAGAGAGCTGGACAGAGCTTGGCTGTCACTGAGAGAGCTGGAGAGGCTGGCTGTCAGTGAGAGAGCTGGAGAGACTGGCTGTCACTGAGAGAGCTGGACAGAGCTTGGCTGTCACTGAGAGAGCTGGAGAGGCTGGCTGTCACTGAGAGAGCTGGACAGAGCTTGGCTGTCACTGAGAGAGCTGGAGAGGCTGGCTGTCACTGAGAGAGCTGGAGAGGCTGGCTGTCACTGAGAGGGAGGAGGCTGGAGGCTGGCTGTCACTGAGGGAAGCTGGAGGAGGGCTGGCTGTCACTGGGAGGCTGGACAGGCTTGGCTGTGCTGGGAGCTGGAGGCTGTGGCTGTCGGTGGGGAGCTGGGAGACTTGGCTGTCACTTTCGAGAGGCTGGACGGGGCTTGAGAAGCTTGTCACGCTGAGGAGCTGGACAGGCTTGTGCTGGAGAGCTGGAGGCTGACATCACTGGGAGGCTGGACAGGCTTGGCTGTCACTGAGAGGCTGGAGGCTGGCTGTCAGGTGAGAGCTGGAGAACTGGCTGTCACTGGGGAGGCTGGACAGGCTTGGCTGTCACTGGGGAGGCTGGACAGGCTTGGCTGTCACTGGGGAGGGAGCTGGAGGATCTGGCTGTCACTGAGGCTGGAGAGACTGGCTGTCACTGAGAGAGCTGGACAGAGCTTGGCTGTCACTGAGAGAGCTGGAGAGGCTGGCTGTCACTGAGAGAGCTGGACAGAGCTTGGCTGTCACCGAGAGAGCTGGAGAGGCTGGCTGTCAGTGAGAGAGCTGGACAGAGCTTGGCTGTCACTGAGAGAACTGGAGAGACTGGCTGTCACTGAGAGAGCTGAACAGAGCTTGGCTGTCACTGAGAGAGCTGGAGAGACTGGCTGTCACTGAGAGAGCTGGACAGAGCTTGGCTTTCACTGAGAGAGCTGGAGAGGCTGGCTGTCAGTGAGAGAGCTGGAGAGACTGGCTTTCACTGAGAGAGCTGGAGAGGCTGGCTCTCAGTGAGAGAGCTGGAGAGGCTGGCTGTCAGTGAGAGAGCTGCATAGATCCTGGCTGTCAGTGAGAGAGCTGGAGAGGCTGGCTGTCAGTGAGAGAGCTGCATAGATCCTGGCTGTCAGTGAGAGAGCTGGAGATAAGCTGCCTTCCAGGGCTGAGTTGCAGCATCCCCCCACCTGGGCACAGCATGCTACAGTGGCACACAGGGCAGTGGATATAAGGACATAAGGCTTGCAGGACTGCCAGGTAAGAACCTCCTTCCTATACTGCTTGCTGTGACACTACCTTTCTGTGGCTGGTTACCATGATCTTTAAATGGGTGCATGGGCTGTGGGTGGTA